AGGCGGGGGCAGGGGGTCAGGCGGGCGCCGCAACCCTGGGCCCTCCCGGCAGTCCCCACACGCCATCGCCCCTCACCGATGGCGCCGTCTGTGTTCTCGTCGTTGAGAGAGCCGAAAGCGATTGTGGGCAGGAGGCAAGCGAAGTAGAGGAACAGGGTGGTGGTGATGTGTTTGCCCACAGCCTTGTTTTTCCCGATGATGCCTAGGGAGAGGCATGGGACAGAGGGCTTGTAGGGGCTGTGGCGCAGGCACACGCGGGGTCCGGGGCCTGAAAAGCCAGGCTCCAGGTGGGCCACATACCGTCAGTGAAGTCTAGCGGGTACAAGGGGAACCTGCGTGCGATGTCTTCCCGGATGCCCTTCCCGAAAGGGACAAAGTCCTTGCACTTTGGGGGCTGGGGGAGAGGACAGAGTGCCTGTCAGCCCCATCCAGCCCCTGTCCCTCCCGCCCATGCCCGCCTCTACCCTACCTCGGCGTGTATGTGGGCGTGCACCGAGACGGCGCTGTGCTCCTTCAGACTCAGTGTCTCTGGACACTGGCTCATCACCGTGAGCAGCTGTCTTTGGTGCACCAAGGCCTCCTTGAATTCTTCCTCTGTGCGGGTCTCCAGGAGCTTCTGGCGGAAGGCGATGTCTGAGAACATGGTGGCAAACGTGCGTGCCACCTCTGTCGCAGTCTTAGTGCTTTTCTGGGGGGGGAGATGAGAGAGTCACCTCCACAGCCCTGTGGAGCCCAGCAAGCCCTGCTGGGTCCAGCACAGGCCCCCCCCAAGCGGGTGGAGGTGCCCTCCTGGAAAGGGGCGAGGCTCTGTTCCCCAAGGTCCAGGCATTCGTGAACCTACCACAATTTCGACCAAGACAATTTCACCACCACCACCCACCTCTATTTTTCTTCTAAACTCATGATTTCTTATTAACTCAGATACTGGTCTTGTCCTAAGCAACAAAAGTCTGGGTAATCATGGATCACGCGATCACAATGGAGAAAAGTGTTTACCCGGCTACATTTCCCCCGTGGTATTTGCACTGTCTGCTGGTTTGACTTTCAGAGGGGATCCAGGCCCATCAGGCCTTTACCCTCTTGCCTGGCTAAGGGCAAGCTGGTCCAAGAACCATGAACTCAGAGTCCAGCCCCCACTGTGGCCACACGCTCACACGCTGGGAGAAGTGTCCACCTCTTTGTTGCTCAAAGCTATGGTTCCAGGGCTCAGGGAATCCTGTTCTTTTTGTTTTTGATTTGGAGTCTCTGTCACTCAGGCTGGAGTGCAGTGACATGCTCACAGCCACCGCAGCCTCAACCCGCCGGGCTCAGGGGATCCTTCCGCCTCAGCCTTCCAAGTAAGCTGGAACTAGAGATGAGGTCTTGCCAATTTGCCCAGGCTGGACTCGAAACCTTAGCTCAGGCAATCCTCTCGCCTCTACCTTCTAAGTAAGCTGGAACTACAGGCTTAAGTCACCACACTCAGCTAATTTTTTGGTTTATTGTAGAGATGAGGTCTTGCCAAGTTGACCAGCCTGGTCTCAAACCCTTGGGTCAAGCAATCCTCTCACTTCCACCTCCCAAAGTGCTGGGATGACAGGCATGAGCCACTGTATCCAGCTCCTACTGTTCTTTAGAACAGGTTCATGTTCCCAAGGAGAAGCCTGGTGTCAGGGGCTGGGTGACCCGCACCAAGGCACCATCCATCTAGCAACTCAGCTCTTAGAATAAGCCCATTCCACTGTATGGCCCCCCTGTTGGGGGTCATGCCCTCTGACCCAGGAGCTACCCCTTCCTCCCTCCCCAGCACAGCACCATCTGGGGAGATTCACAGCATGTCTGTGTGATCCCTGGGAGGGCACCCCCTCTTGCCTAGAGAAAGCTGGAGGGGAGGCCTGTACCCAGGGCAGGGGCAGAACCATCAAGAAGCCAACAGCAGCTGAAGGTTAGGGCCCTTCCAAGGCCTGGGAGGGGTCCTGGCAATCTTTCTTTCAGGATTTTAAAGTCCTTTTCCTGAAAGAAGACTTCCCAAACTGTATCAGCTCCAGCTTCCACAAAAACAGGGTGCCCCTGACCAGTGGATGAATGGCCCAGGAAGGAGTTGGGGACCCTTGGCCAGCAAATCATAAAGCCAGTCAACTAGAACAAGGGCTAGGGTGGGGGACAGGCCCAAGAAAGGCCTCTCTGTTTCAGTAAGGATAATCATAAAAAACATTTATTTTCGGTCAAGAAGGAAATACGACCTTCTGGACAATCTCTGGGAAATTAGGACTTGGGACCTAGCGAGATGTTTCCAGCAAAGTTACAGGGTGGAGATGAAGAGAAGGGGTGAGGGGGAGGCCTTCAGAGGCCAGGACTAGGGGTCCTCCAACACATGGAAGAGGGGCTCCCAAAGGGAGAGGATAGGGTAGCCTGGGACCCTCCTGAGACCTCCACTCACCATCTTGGGTGAGGCCAGCACGAGAATGACGAACCGAACCTCGCAGGAATTCTCCCCCCAGTTCTGTGGGCGAACTAGGCGGCTGATGCACACATGCCGCTTCTGTAAAGTCTTCATGGTACAGCTGGTGGGGATGGGGAGGGGACACAGGACACGGTTGCCACCCTTGAGAGCTGGGGCGCCCCTCCAGAGCCCCCCTGACCTTGACCCCTGGTGACCTCTGTTAGGGAGGAGAGAAAAAGACCAGATGGGACGGAGTGCTCTGACCCTCTCCTCCCAAATTGGATGGTTTGCTAGAGCTGCAGCACTCATGGGCAGGCCAACCTCTGGAGGGACAGGGACACCTCGCGTCAATGTGACAAGGGCTGGCTAAGTGGGGTGGCTGTGGTCTGGCAACTCACATAATGCAGATCCATGACTGCTGGTATCGCAGTCCTGTGACAGTGGCAGTGACCCCTTGGATGGTGTCCGACAGCAAGTGGACTAAGGGCAGAGTGGAGGGGGAAGAGGGTCAGTGGCCCCCTCCTGCAGCCCCTGCCCAGGCTGGCAGACAGGCCTCACCTTTCCCCTGCATGGGGGCCCCGGCATCGGTAAAGAGCATGGCCAGGAGCCGGTCCAGGTTGCAGTCGGGCTCAGTGTTGTTGGGGTCCCGGGCGAAGCGGCGTAGCATGGTTCGCAGCACGTTATCCAGCGAGGTGGCTGTCTCGTCCAGGATGATGCTGGCCTGCGCCAGGAAGCCATCCAGGTCGCGGTGTGCACGGATCTCTTCCTTGAAGTTCTTTAACTTCAGGTACTGAGGGGACCCCAGGCACAGAACCACACAGGCCCGTGAATGAGACAGCTGTCACTGCCTGAGCCCCTCACACTGGTCCTGCCCAGCAGCCCAGCCCTGGGGTAATGTGAGATCACAGCTGAGGTGCCCCTGGAGGTGTGGGGGAAAGGGAGCAGCCACCTCGACCCCAGCTAGGACCACCCTGCTCACCTTGCGGGAGGTGTGCAGCAGCACACAGCCACCAGACGCTGCTTCAGACTCTGCCAGAGAAAAGCAGGGAAGCCTCAGAGTGTCACCCCACCCCTGCAGGCCTCTCTTAGTAGAAGAGGATCATACCTGCCCGGTCCCCTGCCCGGTCCCCTGCCCTCTCCCAGCCTGTCCCTGCCACAGCCCCCATACCAGTCTTGGAGGCTTGCACTTCAAGGTTGACATTGACAAAAAAGCGAATGCTCTCGCCAGATGCGATGGAGGAGTTGACCATGTCGAAGGTCTCATCCCCCAGACTTTCCTCGCGGGCTTCGAAGTTGTCATCTGTGTCACACTTGTAGTAGCCTAGAGACCCAGCTGCCACCAAGAGGGCATGGTCATTAGTGCTGCACACCAGAAAGAGGAACTCCAAGCCCAAGAAGTAGGGATCCCCAGACCATCCTCTCAGCTCAGTCTCTCTTTTTAGAAACAGGGTCTTACTCTGTCACCCAGGCTGGATTGCAGTGGCATGATCATAATTCACTGTAATCACAAACTCCTAGGCTCAAGCACTCCTCCAGCCTTGGCCTTCCAAAGTGCTGGGATTATAGGCATGGCCGCCACACCTGGCCAACATTTTATTTTTCATGGGGGGGTCTTGCTATGTTGCCCAAGCTATGGTCCCCTCTCAGTCAGTGGTGGGCAAGGCCTCCCACAGGCCAAGGAGGCAGAATATGACAGCCAGTGCACACAGTCGTCAGCACCCTTCCTGGTGCCTTTCTCCGGGATTCTTCAGCTGCAGGAACCAGGGCACTGCACTGCTCTGACCCTTCAGTTTGAGAAACGTCTTCTACTCCACACACTTTGAGCCAGGTATTGAGTGCGGTGATGCACATAAGAATGTCAGGCCCTGTCCTCCCAGTTCTTCAACTTAGAGGACCCAAGGGGAGGCAGAAAAGCTGAAGCGTGCAGACACCCCCCATCCCTCTGCAGGCAGGGAGAAGCAGAAAGACTGAGAGACCCAGTCCAGACATGAGACAAGGTCCAGGAAGCAGGAGAGCCACAGGGAGAGAGTCGGGGACAGCAGGGGATGGCACACCCCAGGTCTCATCTCAGCTCTCCCCTATCATGTCCTTCACCTGTGGTGGGTAAGGGTAGACATGGCACCCTGGGATGTGGAACCCTGAGCAGAAAGCCTGCTTTGCTTCCTCCTGGTCTGTCCCACAGCACAGGCTGCCTTCTACAGGAAGACTTCCCAGTAATATGCAAATGTTCCCCTCTTCCCTGAGCCCTGCTGGGCTCCCTGTAGCCTGTGGGATCACAGCCGGAGCCAGCCCTGCTACCCCTGTCCTCACCCTTGGTACCTCAGGCCAGTGAGCCAGCGCCCCAGGCCTGCCATCTCTTCTTCTCCATGCTGAAGGCTTCCCTCCCTGAAGGGCCTTTTACAAGGCTCACTTGGAACCTCCTCCAGGAAGTCCTCCCAGGCCCCTGCCTTGCCCTAAGCCCAGTCACCACCTCTTCCTGACTGTCCTGTGTGTCCCCTAAGGTTCTCCACTTGTGGATACTCCCAGGGAAGGGGCCCTTGCAGCCCAGGCCCCACTGATACCTGACAAACACCTGTGCAGGGACGGGGACGGGTCAGCAGCATGCCTACACCTGCCAGGCAGTGATTCACTCTGACTCATTTCCACTCTTGCCTGTCTGTTTCCCTGGCACATTCCTGGTCCTGTTTCCCCCAATGTCCAGCTCAGCCTGGGCTCCTTCTGGGCAGGAGGGGCCATGCCTTCCACATCAAAGCCTCCAGGAACAAGTGACCCCCAGCCCCAGGCCTGCCCTGCATCCAGAGCCCAGAAGAAAATTTTTTTAAGAGACAGGGTCTCCCTTTGTCACCCAGGCTAGAGTGTGATAGTGTGAGCACCGCTCATTGCAGCCTTGAACTCTTGGGTTCAAGCCATCCTACTCACTCAGCCTCCAGAGCAGCTGGGACTATAGACACGGGCCACCAGGCCCAGCTAATTTTTTAAATTTTTGTGGAGATGAGGGTCTTGCTATATTGCCCAGGCTGGTCTTGAACTCCTGGCCTCAAGTGATCCTCCCACCTTGGCCTCCCAATGGATTGTAGGCATGAACCAGAAAAGAACTATTAACTCAAAAGATGTCCTCATGACAAACTCCTTCCTGCCACTCCAGGCCTGCCTTGGAATGGGCTAGGAAAACTCTGTGGTTCCCCTAGCCCTAACCTGCCCCAGTCTCCCCTCTGCCCCAGTACCCGCCCTTCCCTTGCACTGCCCTTCACCGGTCCCCTGAGTCTCTTTCCCTGCCCTGAGCGCTCCCTTTTCCTAGTCTCCGCTCTTGGATCTTCTCATTAAGGACCTGCCTGGCTGACACTGCCCTTTCCCTGGAGGCTCCCGACTCCCCATGCTACAGCCCAGCCATATACCTAACCTGCCCGCCTGCAGCCTGGCACAAAGAGCTCCCAGGTCAGAGCCCTTTGCCACTATGTCTGTGCATTGCACTCCACAACCCTCTGGTGGTCAGGCCCGCTCCCAGGGCTGGGCACAGGACAGACCGCATGGAGCCAGCCCAGAGAGGAGGACACAGTTAGGACAGCTAGACTGGAGCAAGCAGGGACCACTGAAGCATGAGCAGGTGTATTTCTTTCAAGGGATAATGACAGCCCCTCCCTTTAGGGTTGGGTGAGGAGTGAGGGACAGGGGCATAGGGATTCCCGGCCTAAGTTGTAGGCAGTACACCTGGGGGAGAACACCAGGTGGTCCACCTGGTCCTCTGAACCCAGGAGAAGGAGCAGCCTGCCCTCCCGGGACCCCTGAGACTTGCCAGTGTCTAGACTCCGAGGCTGGCTCTCTCACCACTCCACCACCTCTTGGAAAGCGGAAGCTGAAGGCATTCCGGCACCAGCAGTGGGCCACTGCCAATGCCAAGGGTACACAGGCCGGCGGGCTAGGACTCCTAGGGGCCTCTGACCAACAAGCTCTCTACACACCCTCTACACACCGAAAGGTACACTTACTTGAATCGTCGAAGTATCCATTCTGTGACATGGTGAAAGAGTTATCTGTAAGCAAAGCCAAAGAACTGTCACCACCCATGGGCCAGCCCTGGACAGGCTCCTGTGTCCACCTGCTACCCACCCCACACCAACCTGGCTGACTCCCTCTTACCCTTCCCCGGGATGCAATCCAGACCCCCTGAGAGAAAGGAGAGCACAGAACCCTTCTAGGGAAGGGACTCCCTGAGGAGCCAGGCTTAACCTAAGAAATTAAATTCCTGAGGCCACCTGCTAAGGGCTGCCCAGGTGGGCAAGGAGCAGGGAGGTCCTCAGGCTGCCTTCCCCATCAAGTGAGCGGCAGTACCATCAGATTTCTTCATCCTGGCTTTGGTGACCACTTCCGGCCCTGGCCCAGGCGGCTGGGCAGGGGCACGGGCCTGCCTCGCCTCCTGGCTCCTGGGCCGGGGACTTCCTCTCGGCACATTGCTCCTCTCGCTCCCAGGCCGGCCCCCGGGGCCATGAACGCCCATTACATGCGCGGTTCCCCGCACCCCCTCACGCGCTCCGCGTCACGCGGGGGCCTAACGCGGCGGCAACGGCCTCCTCCCCTGGGGCTGCGTCCCGGCAGCCCGGGAGGCGGAGCCGTTGGTCCAGGAGGGAGAAACTTCGCGGGCGGGGGCGTGGCTGAGGAACACGCGGGGGGCGG